CAGCTGTTGTCTGTCCATCCCCCCACCCCCCTCAGCACTGTCACCACCACCCACCTTATCCCACCTGGCCCAAACACAGCCCTGACCCAGCCCTGCCCTTGCTGGAAAGAGTCTAGCACAGCCCTTGGCCCCAAACCCGCAGCAGGCAGCCTATCCTTGCCCCATGCACAAATCCTGGGGGCATATGCCTCCCCTGGGGCATACATAGCAGTGGGAGCTGTCAACCTCTTTCCCATTCCATCCCCTGGACAAGCTGCCCGCAGCTCCCTCCTGTGCTCCACCCTGGTTGGGCAGCATCTGCCCCAGCCTCACTCCACCCCTCATGGCTGTTTTCAAAATGATCCACCCATGGAGATCAGTCTTCAGCAGCAGCTAGGGTTTCAGCTTCTGTTTAATCAGGAAAGGGAGGTTGTGTGAGCCAAATATTTAGGATCTGTCCCTGTAGTATGCAGCCATAACGCTGGAAAAGTTGTTTTTTTTTTTTTTCTATCCATGTTGTAGATTGCCAATGAAGTAATCGGAGAAATGAATCTGAAACCTGAAGAGGTCTTTCTTGCTCAGGGAACCCTAAGACCTGATCTTATTGAAAGTGCTTCCCTTGTTGCAAGTGGTAAAGCTGAAGTTATTAAAACTCACCACAATGATACAGAACTGATCAGAAAGCTGAGAGAAGAGGTAAATAAAATGAGAATATGACACTTATTTCTGGTTTGACACACACACACACGAAACTGCAGATTCCAAAGCAATGGTACTACTTATGTTTTAGCAATACAAGTGGTTCCATAATAAGAACGGAAGGCTGATAAGGACCTCCTGAGTAATCCATATCCAGTCTTTTCTGCTGAAATGTTTGAATTCGATCTACTGTAGTGGGAAATACAGGTGCTATTGTAATACGTATCTGACTGTAACTATTACTTTTCAAGTTTCTATTTTTCTGGTTCTCAAAGTAATGTGTTTGCTTGAATACAAGATGAGTTCCCCCCCCCCCAATTAGTATGGGGGGAGGCCCCTCCTCTTTATAATCGCATACACTAAATAGATTCTTTCATTAACCTGCTGCCAAAAGCAGCATGTGCTCAGCAATGGAAACCAGCTATGAAGTTGATTTAAACACTAGACATGACTATAAAACACATGGCCCAAATTGGGCAAGCATGCCTACCACAAGAATAGGTTAATATATAAGGACCTACTTAATTCACAGTTTAGTGGATTTCATGGAAACCGTGAAATCTGCAAAATCAACAACAAAAAATAAAATGCTGTTCCTTGTTTCCAGAAGTAGAAGGTGCTGGCTGTTCGGTGGCATGAAAGGGCAGCAGACAAAATGAAGGCTACCCCCTCTTCCCACCACTGGGACGCCTCTGTCAGTCCGCGTCAAGAGGAAGGGCAAGCAGCAGTCAAGATGGCGGCTGCCCCTTAGTCGTTCCTCCCCTGTCAGGGCCTCTCTGCCAACCAGTCCCAAGGGATAGGGCCACATCAACAAGCAGCCAGCAGTTGAGATGGTGACTGCTTCCTCATTCCTCCTTCCCCTCAGGCCTCTCTGCCATTCAGTGCTGAGGTGTAGGGCCTCTGTGAAATGCCCATGAAATCGGTCCTGTGACCCATGAATGGACTGCAAGAAAATGCTCACCAGTAGGTCCCTATGGTAGTACCCCTTACTGCCAGCTGTTTTTTCAAGTCATGGTGAACCACAACATTGCATATGGTTCACCCAGAATAATAATTTGTGCCAGACAGAGGTAATGTGGCCTTGCCCTCCACGAGAGAAGGCCAGATCAGTTTCTATGCAAATGAAGCTCAGGGCAAATTTTTGGAACATCCAAGGATTTATGACTAGAACACCCAGTTCCAGGTATGAGTGGGGGCTAATTAAAACATGGATCCTTTGTAGAGGCTGGCTAGAGTTAAACACATGCTAAGCCAGAGGTGGACAAAATATGGCCTGCTGGTCAGATTTGCCCTGTCAACAGATTTGATCTATCCCATGGGTGGATAGCTGCCAATTCATTGGATCTGGCCTGCGGGTACCTTGCAGTTCCAGCTGCTGCTTGGTGCTGGGCAGGCAGGACTACTTCTGCTCAGCAGCATCAAGTATCAGCTGTGGACCTGGGTGGGGCTTCTGACGCAACAGGCAGGTTCAGGAGCCCTGATGCAGAACCTGCCCACGACGTCCACAGCTGACCCACTGACCTCGCACTGCAGTGGAAGCTTCTGCCCAGAGCCCTGAAGGGAAGGAGAGTGAGAGAGATATGAAGAGAAGAGGTGAGAGAGAAAGATGAGAAAAGAGATAAAGATGTGGCTATGGCCCTTGACAGTTCCCCGAAACTCACTAAGAGGTCTTCCAGCTGAAATAATTGCTCACCACTGTACTAAGCAGTACTGAATTGTGGGGTCACCATGGTTTGAAACTTTGCTGACTGGGGCCCAGCCTAATAAACAATGTGGTAAATCATGAGTCTTTGGCTTGGGACTAACATCTTGCATAGCTTGTACTCTATATAAGTAGGTTCCAAAGTGCTGTTCAAAGTATGTTTTTGGAGTGACTGCTAAAACTTGCAGCGGTTTAAAAAAAAAAAAAAAGGAAATGCCTCAACTCTGAATTAACTAAATGCATGAGTGCTATATGCAAATTGCTACAGCCACGTTTAATTTTAAAGTTCCTGTTTTGGCATTTTTCTCACTTCCATTCCCTCAGGGAGGGTAGATTCTGATAATGAGAGTGGAAAAGGGGTTGCCAGGGGGAAAAGTTGGGTGGGAAGCAGAGAGCAAAAGGGTACCTGACCCCCCCCTCCTTTATTTTCCCTAGTGTAGCAGTGGGAAGGGGACAAATTCAAGGCAAACCTCCAATAATTAGGGGGCTATCTGGTACTGGGCCACCATGACACTGGAGGCAGAGCATCAAGTTCTGGCTTTACTCCTCCCTCATAATGGACTAACTGTAGAAGTAAATCCACAATAGCCAGGCCATCAATCTCTCCTTTTTTTTTCATATCTGATTAGCTGATGCCAGACCTCTGCTCTCCAGGGTTCTGGCTTTCTTTCTTTCATTTTTTTTCCTCCCTGAAAATGGCTCCTCCCCCTCAAAACTGCCCAGTGCTTTGTGCAGCAGCTGCACAGAGTCTGCGCTAGCTGCCCTGCACTGTCACTGCCACCTCCAGGCTGCCCTGCAGGGCAGTGGGGGCAGGAGAGGGAGTCACTGGGCAGCCCAGTGAGCTCTGCATGGCTGCTGCAGGAAGCGCTGGGCAGCGCTGAAGGGGAGGGGCCGCTTTCCCACCCTGCTAGTGCTGCTGTTCCTGCAGCTGTTCAGCACAAGCAGGCAAGTCTGCATTTGGGGGAGGGGAGAGCTACATGCAGTTCCCTCCCAGTACCACGGGGCTGGAGCCAGCATCCACCAATGCCTAGGCAAAGCTGTCAGTCCTCCTGGTATCACTGTTGTGATTCTCTGTGACACCCCCAATTTAGCTTCTCTCATCTTCTGGCAGCATTGACTGTGATCAGACCCAGTTCATTGGGAATCTTCCAAAACTACTTGCACAGCACCTTGTGCATCCTGTGCTTTCTGTTCTTGCAATGCTGTTTCTTTATGTGCTTCCTCCTTTTGTTCTTATAAAGTTTCCACTTGTTTTTCTCACTTTGTCATTTCTGCTGAGTCCTTTATGCATTCACTTACCCTTGAGAGAGCTGCCTCTTGCCACAGTTTCTCCTCATCTTTTTACATTCTAACTGTTGCTCCTTTTGCTGCACTTCTTGGCTAGGGACAGACATACAAAAACCCAGGGCCTGAATTGATTCAACCTTTGCTGGTTAGTCTAACCTGCCTAAGTTGAACCAGTTTGTAACAGTACAGACACTCCCTCTGCACTGAGACATGTGGGCACATGCCTGCAGTTGCTTAGGCCAGGAGCTGGGGGGTGGGGGGGCTAGGGCGTGCCCTCAGGTGCAGGAAAGCTGTGTTGGGGGTGGGGAGAGGGTGGCTAGTCCAGGGTGAACTGGCCAGAGAAGGGCTTAATTTCTCCTTCCCTGTTCCACTGACAGGGACCTGAGCCAGTTCTGCTGGGTGCTCTCCTTTCACTGCTGCAGCAGCGGGCCACCATGGTCCCTGAGGCATAGGGGGCATGGAGGGGTGGTTATTCTCCCTCCTACCCCTGGGCGACTGCAGCTGCCGTCACTGTTCACTTCCTGCTTGGGGCAAGTGGCAGAATAAGCCCCCTCTGCCAGGTGCCAGAGGGAGGGGGAATAACCCCTGTCTCTGCCGGCCGGCGTCTAGCTGCTCCCTTGCCTAGTCTCTGCTGTGGCG